TGACCGACTTTAAAGCAGCAGACTGGTTTTTTGGCCAAAGCCTGATAATGCTCCTAGAGAAATAGCCCTTCCTTGTTTCAGCTCCCAGCCCAGGTCTCCTGTGAATGAAGTTTCAAGTCAGCCCTTTTGTGGAGGTCAACAACCTAGATAGGCAGGAGGGCTAGTTGCAGCCCAGGAGCTTGCTTTGGGGTTGATCATCCTGAACTACCTTTGCCACTTCTAAGTGAAACTGCAGGAAACTGTCCTCTCAAAATGTACTAATATATATTTCTCTTCTAGCCCTGGCACAAAAACTGTTTCCGATGTGCCAAGTGTGGGAAGAGTCTTGAATCAACAACTCTGACTGAGAAAGAAGGTGAAATCTATTGTAAAGGTAACATTTAATTTGTTGCTGCTATCCATGAATATCTCACACTGGCCATTCAATGAAGTGCCATCAGTATAAAACAACAAAAAAATTGTAGTCTGAAAATAAAAAGGAAGATACAGTCACCAGCTACTTGAAAACACAAGATCCAGAGATGCCAAAAGATGAGAGAACCAGTCTTCTTCTGTTCATTTAAAACTTACCCTACAAATAATGAAAAACATCACACAGAAGTAGTCTTTCAACTTCATGCTATAAGCAAAGCATATGAATAGATGAGGGTAAAACCAAATATATAACTAAGCTTGTCTTTCATGCTTATAACTCGGCATGACCACGAGCTGAACACTCGGGAACCAGAATGTTTGTACTTGCCTTCAGTTTGAGGGTATTACAAGGCACATTTTATAAAATCTTCAGTTGAACTCTTTGGCATAGCCAATTTTGTTTTGAATTTATGGGATTTGCCTTAATGCTAGCAAAACTTAATTGACTTGTACTATCTCTCCCATTTCTTTTGTAGGATGTTATGCAAAGAACTTTGGGCCCAAGGGATTTGGCTATGGCCAGGGAGCAGGAGCCCTTGTCCATGCTCAGTAAAGGTGCAACTCAAAACTAAGCATCACACACTGAGAATCTCTTCATAATCTAGACACAGATAATTTTGTAACACTAAACTACTGTGAAATTCAACCAACATTAAGTACTGTATATTACTCTGTACTTGGATATGCTGGCTAACTTGTAAAAAAGAGCATTATATCCTTTTGCTTTATTCATCAGCATTTTCAAGAACCATTTCTTTTACATTTTCAATAAAATCTGGCTTGAGTGTTTAGTGTCTTTTAATCAACCTATGGGGACTTCTGTGTTTTCAGTTAGTGGGAAATCATTGGGGTCTTTACCTCATTTGTATTTGTGTTGACAAGGATACCCCTCAGGCATCACCTTTCAGCTCCTCAGAGCTGGCATTCAGCTGTATATCATCTCTGTCCCTCCTGCCCCATTAAAGCCTGTTGGGTAACTCTTCTCTGTTGGAATAGTTTTCCAAAGTATGCATTAGACAACTCAGATTACACTTCACCCTCGACAAAAGTACAGTCTCTAGAGGCAGTTTGGGGCCATAGAAGCCCTTTTAACAAATTCCTCAGAAAAGGCAAACTGACTCAGAGCAGGCACATTGTTAGAAAACATGGGTTCTTCGCATTTATTTATACTTAAAGATTATTACAGACAACTATAGAATCTGAGGCTTAGCGTAACATTTTTTAGAAACTCCCCACTCTAATCGGATGTTGACTCAACTAAAGTCTAGAAACTGAGGTGCTTTTTTCACATATTTCAACTCTGTGTAAGTAGCAAAGAATGTTATGTTTTCTGGGTGCATTCAGCTGTCTCAGGCAGAAAAGGGGCATTGCACTAAACAAGGAATATTTTCATTACCCCACCCCCCTTCCACCACCCTGCAAAGGTGAAACTGGTCTGCAATATATGTTAATAGAATTAAACCAGCCTGATTGTAAACATTTTATTTTCTCCAAAGTCTATTTCTAGACATCATATTGCTTATTTTGAATGGCTAAAAGGGATATGTATGACTTAGGAGAAAGTTGATTGTGGGTGTACTGAGAATTCATGCTTATTTTATATCATAACCTAGAGCAACTTCAGGTTTATAAGACTTATCAATTCCAGTGGATAAGGGGGAGGGCTTTTAGTTAAGCAGGCTGGGAAAGTTAATTAGCAATGAAAGGCACTGAAGTGAAAGAAGAGATACTGAATAACTATGTGATGGTTTTAAAATATGTCCACAGATCGACATTCCCACTAGAGAGCTGTGATTATATACAGCCCTGTAGATTAACAGTGCACACTTGCATACTGAAGGCCTTGACAGCCTAACACTGATTTAGTCTGTCTACAAAAATACTTAACTATGAAATGTCTGTCTGTGGTTTTCAAACTTTTAATCTCATAACCCCTTTATATTCTTAAGTCCAAAGAGATAGTTTATGATAGTTGTATCTATTAATATTTTCTACATTAGAAATTTAAAATTTAAAAACTTTAATTCAGACTTCTCTTATAGCTAAGATGAAATAATGGGAACCAGATTACTCATTCACCAGGAACAAAGGCAGATTAATGAAAAACATTTATTTATACTTAAAGATTTATTTATATATACTTAAAGATCATTACAGACAACTATAGAATCTGAGGGTTGGCATAAGACTTTTTCAGGACACTGGACATTACGCAACAAAGGATAGTTATGGGAAAAAAACAGAATCAGTCTTACAAATTATCAAAGCCTACTGCTTTGAGATTCTAGGCTGTAGTACAACGATGGAAAACAGAACTGGAAGCCACCCTGAGTTGAGACAACTGAGGGGGTGGGTGGGCATGGTGGCTTCACAGAACTTGAGTCATGCAGAGAACTCTGGGGTTATGCAGAGCATGCTCTTCAGCAGTGTTCTGACTGAACATGCATTTTGCATAACTGTCCAGGGCAAAAAATTCACTGCCCTTCATGACAAGGCGCCTTGTTTGTACCAGCAAGACTGAAACATAATTGCCAGGGCTTTGGCTTTAGAGTATAGAGTGTAGGCACCTCTTCCTTCAGTAATGGGGAGTAATCGGCTATAAATTAAACACTATTGTCTCGCCTACCAGATTTTAAAAGCAAGACCTAAAAGGATCAAAATTGCCAAGTAACTTTCAAATCCCAGAGTAAAGACCCATCATTTTTATAGGAGTTCAAAAATAGCCAGCAACCAATTCATATGGTTTGGCATCTAATCAAAAACTACCAGGTAGGGCATAAGATTTAGCTCAGTGGTGCTGGCACCTGCCTCACAAGTGCAAGGTCCTGAGTTCAATCCCCGGTACCAGAAAACCCCCAAACTACCAGGTCGCTGGGCATTACAGGTGCATGCCTGTAATCCAAGTACTCAGGAGGCTGAAGCAGCAGGATAGCAAGTTTAAGCAAGCCTGGGCAACTTAGTGGGATCTTGTCAATAAGTGATGGCTGGGGTTGTAGCCCCCTGGGTTCAGTCCCCTGTACTGGGAGTGGGAAAAAAGCATGAAGGCAAAAAAAAAAAAAAAACCCATCAAGACCAATCCAGAATCCAGATGTGAAAATTAGCAAGTCGGGATATTAAAAATCATAACTATATTTTCAAAAAGAGATACTGAAGATATACAGAAAGGTCCACATTAAACAAAGTAGGTGACAACCATGGTGTTAACATTAAACACTGAACTGAGTTAATGAAAGAGTAGACATAGGAAGAAACATTAATGAACTAAACTATGCCAAAAAAAAAAATTTAACAATGAAGCTCAGTGGAGTATAAGATACTATCAAGTGACCCAGTGTATGTGTAACTGAAATTTCCAAAAAGGGGAAAAAATACTTTAAGAAATGATAACTAGAAATCTTCTAGATTTGGTGAAAACCAAACCTACAGATTGAAGCAGCAGCAGCAGCAGCAACAAAGAACCTTTCTGATGGGGTAAATGGAAGTGTACTTTTGAGTACTAAAAGCACTGCCATCTATTAAAAATGTATCAGCTGGGCATGGTGGTGCATGCTTGTAGTCCCAGTGCTTTGAGAGGCTGAGACAAGGATTCCAAATTTGAACCCAGTTTAGAGATTACTAAGTTAGCGACACCCTCTCTCAAAATAAAAAATTTTAAAAAGGCTGGAGATATGGTGTGATGCAGTTCAATCCCCAGTAAGGGGTGGGGGATCAATCCGAGTAAACATCTGATGACAGAGACATTCTAGTAAAATTCATCTGAACAAAACATTCATGTCCACTTCAAAAGCAAGAGTTTTGTAAAAGCTACATTTGGTTTCCTTGAGTTTGTGACAGGTGCCCTAGATAAACAGGTATTCTCCTGAATTACAGATTTTTCTATTTTAAAAGTCAAATATATTTAATAACAAACTCCTTAGAAAAAGCACTTTAAGAGACTGAACATTTACTTTCTAACAAGAAGCATATTCAGACATGTATCATTTGTTTATAATTCTATGAACTCCTAGAACCATAAGTCACCATATGAACAACAGGAAAGGGCCCCTTTGTAATTTTTATTTTTTTAAATTTTCAAAGGTTTCTTTGTCATATATACTTAAGTAACTGAGATCAGTGTTTAGTAGGTTTCATTTTGCAATATTTTGGGCATACTTACATTAAAAGCAGGATTCATATAGTTTCGAGGATCCTAATCAATTCTATAGAATAAAGTTTATAAATACATACACACAGCCCAAGCATGGTGCCACATGCCACATGGTGCCACAGCATTCAGGAGGCTGAGGCAGATCACTGAGTTCAAGGTTAGCCTGGGTTACATGGTAAGTTTAAGACCAGCTTGAATTTCATAGTGAGACCCTGTCTTCAACAAAATAAATAAGATGGGAAAAATACACATATAGCCATATACAAAAACTGGAAATTGTTAATACTAACACCAACTTTTACTTTCTACAATCTTACACCTCCTGACTCCTAGGTTGACCAAGATATAAATATACAGAATAATTGTTTCATATTATAGGTATTACCACTATGGTTTCATCAATTTCTTTAAGTGAATTACATGAAATTATAAACAAGCACACATTTAAAGGTCAATATTTATTCTGATTAATATTTTACAAAATTTTGACATTTAATTTATGTAAGGAGAACTAATTATTAAACACTTTACAGGTTTTTCTTTCCACAGAGTAACACAGTAAGTAGCAAAATAATACTTGGCACAGTTATAAATAAAATATAAAATAAAAACATTCATAGCTTAAGTGTAATGATGTTGCTTTATGCCTATTAATATTTCAAATTCCTACAAAAAAACTCCAAAGAAGTAATTCATGTTCAGAGCTGAGAATTAAGTTGCTATTTGCTAAAAGTATCCAATGAAGCTGATATGAACTATTCTGAGAAAGTTTGCCTCCTCCACAACTGTAAAGCTGAGTTAAACTGATTCTACACTCAGAACCTACAAAGTAATTAAACAGATGATACAATGCTGCATAGGTGGCTCCTCACCACCTGGCCATTTCTGAGTTATAGACTTAAGTGGTTCTATGAAATAATTAGTACTACACCATTTTCATTGCAAATGTTTTCCATGTAATTATACATCTAGGGTATTTTTGTCTATTTAATTGAGAGACATTTCTTTGCACTGAAAAGAATATTGTACCACAAAGAAAGACATGGTAACAACATTCTTATCCAAACTCTGAGAAAACTACCACTTTTTAAATGTTGATAAAAGTGTATTAGACAAAAATTGCAACTGAGTCTTCATGTGAACTGGCTCAAAATACAAAAATTTAAAACAAGTCCTAGCATTGTATAAATAACTTTGAATTTAAAAATTATCTAGAATTTCCCCCAACTGTTAGTCAAAACTAGCAGACATTTGTGAAGTTAACCGATTTTTTACAACCTATGACAAAATGGCATAATGCTATTGCCAACCCACACTAATCTCTTCCTTTTCAAAAATAAAGTACATATGCCAATTTTTCTATTATTAAAACACCCAGGTACACTAAGGGTAATCTTTTTATGGGTGACTTGTGATCAAAGAAATTACTATATAAAAACGGTAGTACTTGGAAATACTGAACATCAACTATATACATTTTCACTGCTCCTCTTACTAAGGCAAGGGGCGGGTATACCAATAGATTGCTTTAATACCTGTAATCTGCAGTTAACAGGACAATCTAATTGTACCAAGCATCAGACATGCAGTGAACTTGCAGGGTATAATGCCTATTAACAGCAATATTGAACATCACTAGAAGCTCATTATCTCCCTTTTCTTTTTGCTTGGATAAAATGAAATGAGCAGCTTTAAAAACACTAACACATATAGACACAAAGAGAAAAAGTATTTGATAAATTATTTATATACAGATACACGTTCTTTACACTGGTCTAGGATCTGTCATCAATCTGACTTCCCTTCCTCCCCCTCCCCTACCCCATTCCCTCTCACAGGTTTCCCACAGGTTGCTCGAACCACAGTTTGCTACAGCATTTAAGAGAACTAAACCAAGTCTCACTCTGTAAACAATATTCATGGAAGTAGTGACTAGTAATTTACCATGAGGGTATGGAAATGCTGCAACAAAAATTGATCAGTGCATCACATTTAACAGTAAGAATATCTTTCTGAAATTGTTTCAGCATTAACAAATTTAAAAACATTCAATATTGGGAAAAGTTGCCGGGGATTTAGCTCAGTGGTTCCGTCACCTGCCTCGCAAGTGTAAGGTCCCAAGTTCGATCCCCGGTACCAAAAAAAAAAAAAAAAAAAATTGGGAAAAGTAAAATAATGTTGGGGATTACATCCTACTTTCTGATAGGTCATTTAAAAAAACAGAATACACCATTAGCTTTTCTTTTATTCACATTTGCTATGTACAGAGAGCATGCTCCATCTTTAGCTTAAACTGTTATTTTCTACAATTTTGCAGCTCAAAATTTTTAAGGTTTATCCATTTACCTCTATTACTAAGAATTTTGCTTTAGCTTATTTGTTTTGCCTTTACAAATCTCACTTCAACTCTTAAAAATTGGACTGTTTGCACATCAAATTAAATTCTAATTTATGCTTCACTGGATAATATCTGCTAGTATACATTCTATGCAGTATATCATGCACTTAGTAGGGCTTTTAAACTTGAACAAAATATAACTTACTATACTCATGCAAGTGCTTCATTATTAGACCATAAAACCTCAGAGCAAGGTTACTACAAATTATTTCAATGAACTAGAAATATACCAGCATTGTAACAGCTGATAAAATAGCACATTTTTTGTGAACATTATTTTCTTGTGCCTTTGAAGATACATTACAGTAGATCCCTAATAAAACCATGATTTTATCACAGTTGTGCATGTACATTTTAAAATGTACAAAATGCTCTCAATCAATTTAATTCTGGAATTAGATGCAATTCTCTTAGTAGACTGCATCATAAAATGTAGCCATATAGCATAAACTTAGTTTCAGTTAGAACAGAACTTTTGATCAGTATACAATGTCTGTCAACAGAATTCATTCTTTTTTCATGAAATGAGAACAAAACCAAAAAGTTGAGTATGTAGTGAATTCCCACATTAAGAACAATTAAAATCCTTTTTATGATCTTTAATCTTCCCAGAAGTGGCAGTGTGCTCTCTGTCCATGTTGACTTTTGTTAATAAAAGTGTTGAAAAAAAGACTGTAAAATTCACTGTTAGCCCTACACATAGCATGCCTATTGTTCAAGGATGTGGATTCGAGTGTGAGAGAGACACGGACAGATACAAATTTCAGGCACCACTCAGCAATATGCTTCATAGGATAAAGATGTTATTACACAAGCTGGTACCCAGATCCTGATATTTGGTCATATTCTATTGTATATTGTCTGGTCCAGTCCACGATAACAGGACGAAAGAGGCCACAGCATCGAAATTCAAAGAAGTCTATAATATTCCTTATACATCCATGGCTAAAAACAGCCGCCCCAAAAGAAAACAATTCAGTTAGTACAGATGATTTAATATGAGTTAAATATAATTTTGGTGTTCAACATATTTTTTTCTAAGCTCAAAAGCTCAAGTTATTGGCAAGAAAGAACCAATTTATCTTTACAAAATAAATATCATTCATGTGTCTCCATAAAACATTGATTTTTATCTTTTTGCTAATTTAAATAGTTAACACAATTATATTTTAAAGTTATCCAAATCTGCATTTTTTGATAAAATTTTTCTGCATTAATTTTGATAAAAATCTTGATTTTTTTTTTTGACAAGGAGAGAACCTCTCCAAAATTGAAAAAGAAAATAGAATACAAAATAACTATGTATAACATGATTTGGCAGAGGACCAGCGTAACAATTTTACAAAGAAAGGTAAAGGGTAAGTTTAGGAAATTTTAGGACTTCTCTAATACTTCTATCAAGTATTTTTATAACTTGTATAATTATTATATCTACAAAAGAATTCTCCCTTTGTTTTTATGTAAAGGTTTGCTTGCTTTCTACAAGTATGCAATAATTAATAATACTATAAAAGCTAGAGGGCATGTAGTAACTTATATGAAATTGAGTTTTAAATATTTCATGTAAATGGGACACTATATGTAGGTGTCAGATTATACACAATTTTTTAAATATACTTACCACAAATTTATATACAGTTAATGTGATAAATTATATTTTATAGTGTTTTTGAAGTAACCCATCCCTCTTCTACAGAAATCTTATGTTCAGAAGCATTTAAAAGCTATTCTCATATTGCCCAGTAAAAGATATATTCCCCATCTCATATTTTCTTGCCATACCTAAAGAAAACACTTCCAATATATTTATTAGATAATTACTGAGCTTGCTAAGAAAATTTGTAAGATAAAAGAAAATACTAAATTTATAAATATGTACATACTTGAATGGGCTTTCAATAGATGTTGTTGTGACTTTAAAGTGCTTGTATCTTCTGGCATTCATTCGTTCATTTGTAGTAATACCTAAACATGATATCTAAGAAGAAAGAGAAAAGAACCCATGATTCTGAATAATCAATGTTCAAAAAAAGTTAATTCTCAAGGAGTCTAGGCTAGAGAGGAAAATGATGAAATCCATCTTTGGTTTTCTATCAAGAGATATTACTTTATGAAAAGTAACCAGGTAAATATGAAAAATACTTAAACACAGGTTACAAGGTATTGTGCACAGAAAAGTTCTCCATCACACTCTTTCAGAATGAACCTTTTAAGAATTCTTAATAGACTTGAATAAACAGTGATTTTTGCGTTTAATTATGCTGTACCACTAAAATGAATACAAAATTAATGAGATCAATCTCTGCTCACACACACACACACCTGTGTATATCTGAATCAATAATAACAAATAAAAAATTGTGCTGAAAGCAGTACTAAAAGTAAGAAGTTTATAATATAAAAATAGAAAGGAGGAAAAGAGGGAGGTAGAGGTGAAAAGTAAATAAAAATTCTTGAAAATCCAAGTGGTTAAGAATACATTATTTCTTAAACAAGGAGAAAAATTTTTAATGTTTCTCAGCACACTAAAGAACTAATAACACATGTACCTGGTACATCTGACACATGAGTAATACAGCAACCCACATGAAATGAAAAACACTGTTCAGAAACATCCAAAACATCCAAGGTGAACATGTAGCAATTTGAGTAATATATGTCCAAAATCCATCCTTGGTGTAAGTGGTCTCACAGTGAAGTCCCCAGTCTAAAACCAGAAGACAAGAGACTCACATTTACTTAATAATCATTAAAGCACTTCATGTAGGCATTAATGCTGACACCACTTAGAAAGCATGATCTTAACAGTCTATGTTTAATTGATGTCATACACAGCTAATGTTTTTATACTTTTAAATGACTTCATTATACTTTAAAGAAAAAATTATTTACCAAACACAAGAATGGAAAAGCAGCTGCAAATCTTAAAAAAAAATTTATTGTACCTTCAGAATAAACAAATTTGGTGTTGCTTATATACAATACTTAAAAGAACATTTTGTTTAAAAAGATAATGGGTGAGATTTTTTTGGAGTGGGGGCATATAACATAACAAGATCACTTCAGTGAGATAGGCTTTTTCTAACACAAAATCTACTCCTTGAGGGCTGCTACTATAAAGAATTATTTTATTGGCAAGAAAATGTGTTCTTTCAGGTGTATTGGGCCAAAAATTAGGTCACGCTCTTTAACCAAATCTTTTTCTTAATCTCTCTTTGAGGAGGTAAACTCCTTTTGTACATTAGTGCAATTGCGCTGATTACTTTTAATATCTCAGGATAAAAGGACTAAGAAACCATCCTTCCAAGACTTACTTTTAAACCAGAATCTAATACATCTTTATGTTAACCTTCCCCAAGCCTTGAAACATACTAACATCTTCATTTAAACTCTTCTAATGTGGGTTCTCAATTCAATAAAATTCTATCATTTCTTCTAAGATACTACACCTATAAAAATCAAATGAGTGAGGGTTAGGGATTTAGCTCAGTGGTTCTGCTACCTGCTTCACAAGTGCAAGGTCCCAAGTTCAATCCCTGGTACCCAAAAAAGAAAAAAATCAAATGAGTGAAAACTTATCTTAAAAAAGGGTAACTTCTGATACCTAATAATATTCCCCAATAGGCAAGAATTATACCTTACTTTTCAAAATATTTTAAGTTCTGTGCAAATTTAAAGTATTACTTCCCAACTACTTGGTTAGAAAGAACTAGTACAACTGTTTCACTGTACAGACCACTAAACTAACCATAAGCACATGATCTGAGATGTTGGTGTATTCTACCCAGAAGCTTCTCAAAGCCTATTAGACCACTATGTTTCCCAAAGGACACCCGCATTAAAAGGTGGTTAACTGATAACAGCTTGTATTCTAAGTGAAACATATTTGATAGATCTGTATCTTTTTCTTTGATGTGTCATAAGGTACCCCAAACTATATTTTTGTTAAGACTTTCATCATTACATAATATGGCAAATATAATCTGACTAAAACATTTATCTTTTAAGAAGGCAAAAAAAAAAAATTGTACTCACAAGAAATACAACCATAAATCATCCAACAGATCATAAAAAGCAAGAAGAATAGGTAGCCCATAAAGTACCTATGGTTGCCTGCACCTAAAGAACACAGAAGTTATGAACATTTCAGCTAAGAAAAATCAATTTATAATATATCTTTGAGGGGTATACTATGAAATATGTTACAACTTGGACAGTCACATACATTATTTTACAAAATGGTTTTCCAGAAAATAAGTGTTAATGAGTTACTAAAAATAAGTGTTTTAATGAGTTTTTAAAACACGAATGCTTATAAATACCATTTTGCTTATAATACCAAACACAAAAAGATGTGACTGCAATGATGATATTTTTTCCAAAGGCAAAGGAGTCCCAAAGAATCAAATAAATCACAATTCCAACTTTCAATCCTAGTCTTTGTTTTGTGAGGTTAAAATACCCTATGTTATCTCTCCTTTTATAACCCTTACAATCCAACTTTTCAAAGGCTACTCCAACGTTCACACAATCTTTGTAATCCCTTAATCTTTATTTGAGGAAGAAAACTCTTTTTGTTCATTAGTGCAACAGCATGGATTCTTTTTAATAGCTCCTTTTAATAATTTCTTTTCTGTCACTTTATAAACTCTTCATGGCCAATTCTTGGATCACTTAGTTCATCTCCTTAGATTATACCACTCTTGAACATGAAAGTGTGTTCAGTTCTTATGTGTCATTCCTCTCTGCTTCTGTACATAAAATCATTGAGGAAAAGAAAATGGCATAGTAGTGATCAGTAGCAAAATTCAGCCTCTCCAAGATCCAGAAACCAGACAGTGAAAATTAACAACTTGTCGAAGAAAAAAAGAGAAGCAGACCAGTGGGAATTGAGAAGGAAGTGACAGAAAAATTAGATGCTACAGAGAAGTTGGAAAGGTGGTTCACAACACAGAGACAAGAAGGAAACAATGTGGACTCTCTGCCCAGCTCTCATGGCTCATGGGGAAGGGAAACCAAGATCTCCAAAAGTAAGCACCCAGGACCAGGAGGTCCAGGGAGAAGCAGCAGCGACGCCCACAATCTTTGTGAACTCCAAAAACAGGGTAAGGTTTTGCTCTGAGGGGATTCCTTTCACACAGCAGGCAACGCAACAACCAGAGAGGGATTTAAGCATGGGTGCCTGCCATATCCAGAGTGCTTGATTAGGCACCTCTTCAGGAAAGTGCTGATACTTTAAATCTGAGGCTCAGAACAACTGAAAAACAACTTCACTTCAGGGCTCCCATGTTACTCTCCCACAATGACTGGTATGAGACAGCTATGGGAGACAGCACAGGCAGGGAGTGGGCTTTTGGACCTCCCCTTGGAGGCCAGCCTTCAGCTGTGCTCAGAAACAGCTGCATTTGAAAGTGCTTGCCTACATGATGTACTTGAACCTTTTGCCCTCCTTCCTACATATGGTGCAGATCTGAGGTCTGATTGCCTTTCCTATCTACCAACAGGAGCAAGGCCAGGTCTTAGCATGGGTACTGCCAAAGCCTGGGGTAAACAGAAGGGCTTCTGGAATAGGGGGTGCACCTCATAATCCCACAGGCTGCTGTAGGGCTAGGTGGAGAAAACTGAGACTTGCTGGATCCCAAAACAGTGGGTCCTAGAAGAAAATCATCCATTCAAAAATAAAGAGAAAGAAAATTTTTTTCTCTTTTTAGACTCCTTTCCTTTTTTCTTTTTCTTACTCCCTTTTTTCTATTTTTACTCTCCATATTTTTTCTCCCTTTTTCCTTTTATTTATTTCTTGTGGTTTTTGTTACTTATATCTAATTTTATAAATATCCTTCTACTCCATAACAGATCTTTTGTCTTACTTTTCTCTGCTCTTTCTCATCTCCTATTTAATTTTTCAAATTTGTCTTTTTGCATTCTCCTATTCTCAACCCTTGATATGTTTAATAGTATAATCATTAAGGTTTATTAATCTTTAGACTATTAACTTTATGTCACTACTGATGAATTCTTTTCTATCAATGGAGGTATAGTTATTGCATTTAGTAGATATTGTATGCCTTGGTTTGTCTTGGGTTTATACTTAATTGTACATTGCTTTTCTAAAGTTAAGGGTGGTACATTGTTGGATCTTATGGTTTGTCAATATCCAGTTTGTCTTGAATGATATTACTGTTACTAATTTAGTTGCTCCTGCCAGAGTGGCATAGTTGTTGCTATTAATAGGTTTTCTCTTTATGCTAAAACCCAGATTACCTTTGTGACATTAACAATACTGTAGTCCACTCCTGGAGAAATGGGTGCTGGACCAATTATATTACATCTCCCCTTCCCATATTAAAAGAAGGGATTAGATCTTGGGGCAGAGGTAACGGATTGTAAATACTATGCCCTGAGTGCATCACTGAAAATCAAACTAAAGAAATCTCCAAAAAACTAGCAATAAAGTGTTTCCACTATAAGCAACCGCAAACCTAAAAAGAAAACAAAACAAAAAAACAAAAAACAATAGAAACATGAGAAGAGAAGGCAAAAAAAGTGCCTCTCAAAACTCCCAACTACCCCAAAGCTGAACCATGGGGTATTAAGGGGGAGGAAAGCAAAAGACACACAACCAAATTATTTAAAAGGATAACAGAGATTAAAAGACAGATCAATGAGGTGCTCATCGGGCTCAAAGAAAATATACTTAGATCGTAGAGGTAATAAAACAATCAGTGAGCTTACAGAAGATACTAATGAAAAGGTAGCTAAGCTAAACAAAATGATAAAAAACAAGAATGACTAGTTTAGTAAGTAAGTACGGTCCATGCAAAGGTTCCAAACAGAAATCCAGGAGATCAAAAATTATAAAGTACAGGCAATAGAAGTGACCAATGTGAAGACAAAATAGCAGAATTAGAAGATAAGGGATGCTTTCGAAGACTGGTTACTCAGAGATACCTTAAAAACAACAAGAGAACATAAATAGCTGCTCAATGATGCAAAGAAGACAAATCTAAGATTAACTGGAGTACATGAAAAATCAGAACACAGCACAAAGGGCATAAAAAAGTCTATTTATAAAAATAACAGCAGAAAATTTTCCAAAGATTGGGAAAGAATAAAATTTATATAATTACATATATATTAAATATATTATATATAAATACATACATATATATATATATATATATATATATATATAAAATAGAACCCCAAATAGCCACAATCGATACAGAACTTCTCCAAGTCACATCATAGTCAAAATACCTGAAGCCGAACACAGGAACAGAATCTTAAAGCTGATAGAGAAAAGAAGTGAATCACTTACAAAGGTAAAACTATTAGAATTACAATAGACTTTTCAACACAAACCTTGAAGGCCAAGACTTGGGGCAAAATGTTTCAAGCCCTAAAAGAAAACAATTTCCAACCTAGGCTGACATATCCTGCAAAACTATCTTTTAAAACTGAGAGAAAAAAGATACTTTCATGATAAGAGCACCTAAAGAAATTCAGTCACCAAACCAGCGCTCTAAAAACATTCTCAAGGATATTCTAGAAGAGTCTATGGCACGCATATCACAGCAGGCTGTTTGTATCATTGAACAACACTCTAAAAGGTTCACCTCCATCACTGTCCTAAGAAGAGACAATGAACCCAATAAAGCCAAAAAATAGAAAGAATTCATTAGGCAGGATAAGCAGTTAAGTAGGGTGGGGTGGAGATCAGCAACAAGAAAATAATGAATTGACAAGAATAAGTCAGTCTCTTTTCGTAATAACTGTCAATGTGAATGGTCTCAACTCCCCTATCAAAATACATAGATTACCAGAATGGATCAAGAAATAAAACCCAACAAAGTACAATATGTTACAAACACATTTAATCCAAAAAGAAATACACAGATTAAAAATCAAAGGCCTGAAAGCAGTAATCTATGCAATGGGAACCTGGAAAAAAATCCCAAGTAGCTATCATAATTTAAGACAAAGTGGATTTCAAGCCCAAACTGATCAGAAGAAGCAAAAAAGGTCACTACATATTGGTTAAGGGAACAATTCAACAGGAAGACATAACAACTATAAACATAAGTTGATGCACCCAATTTCATAAAACAAACACTACTAAGCAAGATGTGGTGGTGCACACCTGTAATCCCAACACTTGGGAGGCTGAGGCAGAAGGATTGCCAAGAGTTTGAGGCCAGCTTGGGCTACATAGTGAGTTCAGGACTGGCCTAAACATATAGCAAGATGCTATGCTGTGTATTCTCAAAAAACAAAAAACAAACACTACTAAACCTAACAAAAAAATCAGGTAAATACCAACACAGTTATAAGTGAGGACCTCAATATCCTACTGTCACAAATAGATCAACTGGACAAAAATCAACAAAGAAATATTAGCACTGAATCTAACCTTCAAACAAATGGACTTAATAGATATCTACAAAATGTACAACAGAATACACACTCTGCTCAGCAGTACAAGAGACTTTCTTCAAAGAAAAGACCACATACTAGCCCATAAAGCATGCTTAAGTAAATGCAAAAGAATCAAAATTATCCTATGCATATTATCAAATCATAGTGCAATGAAACTAGAACTCAATGGCAAAAGAAACCACAGAAATTATGCAAACATATGAAATTAAACAATAACCTCTTAAAGGTTCACAGAAGAAATTAAACAAGAAATTATTTCCTAGAATAAAACAATAATGTCACTACAAAATCCAGAACTTATGGGACACAACGAAAGCAGTCCGAAAACAGAAGTTTATAGCTGTGAATGAAAATATCAGAAAAACAGAGCAAGACGATATAAATAACCTAATGATCCACCTCAAGGTCCTAGGACAAACAAGGGTAATCCAAATTCAAAGCTAATGCAAAGAAGCAAATTACAAAGATCTGACCAGAAATTTTTAAAAACTGACACCAAAAAAAAATACAGTCAATGAATCAAAGAAATAGTTCTTTGAAAGAATAAACAAAATAGAAAAAGGACAGAAAAGACCCAAATCAATGCAACTAGAAATGAAAAAAGGTGAAACACAACATCAGACTTTACCAAAATCCGGAAGACTATTAGTAACTACTGTAGAGTCTGTACTCTAATAAAATAGAGAATTCAGAAGAAATAAGATTCCTAGATATGTACGAACTATCAAACCTAAACCAAGAAGACATAAAAACCCTTAATAATCCAATAAAAGCAATTAAGATTGAAGAGGTAACAGAAAATTTACCAGCCAAGAAAAGCTCAGGTCCTGATCCTGAATTCTATAATAATTCTTTAAAGATACAACACCAATACTCCTCAAACTCTTTAATGAAATTGAAAGGGAAGGAGTACTCACAAAGTCATTTCTGGAAGCTACCATTACCCTGAGTCTAAAACCAGAAAAGGACCCAACCGAAAAAGAGGCCAATCTGTTTAACGACGCAAAAGTCCTCAACAAGATACTGCCCAACAGGAAGCACTAAATCATCAAAAAGAACATATATCATGTAGGATCATACATCAAGTAGGATTCATTCTAGAGATGCACAGATAGCTCAACAAACTCAAATCAATAAAGGCAGTATACCACATAAACAGAAGCAAGGACAAAAATCACATGTTCATCAGAAAAAGCATTTGACAAAATCCAATATGCATTCATGATAAAAAAAAAAACCTTGAAGAAATTAGATACAGAAGGACCTTAGCTCAATCCAATAAAACCTCTTTACGCCAAACTGTCAGCATATTAAATGGCAAGATTCTGAAAGCTTTCCTTCTAAAATCAGGAACAAGACAAGGATGTCTGCTATCGCTACTACTGTTCAATATACTTCTCATAACATTAGTTAATAAAGCTACAGTGATACAAACAGCATGGTACTGGCAAAAACAAAACAAAACAAACAAACCCATGTTGATCAATGGAACAAAACAGAGGATGCATAAACAATTTCAACCTTTCTTATATGAGAAACCCAAACTATAAATAAAAACCAATATAAAAGATAAAAGGAACAAAAAGAGAGATGGAGAAAGGGAGGGTAGGGAGAAAGAAAAACAAATGCTGCCAGAAGGGAAGGGAGGGGAAGTCAAGGGAATTGAGATGTGCTATGTACATGTGACAACTTAGAATGAATGCAATCATTATGTACTGCAAATATGTACCAATAAAATGTTTTTAAGTTATTATTGCTTTCTATAATTTAATTTTAAAAAATTATTTGCCTCCTTATTAATTTCAATCTTACCAATGGAAAAAGTAGGAAAGATAAAGCACTAGAGAGAATGTATAGAGAAACAGTATCAATCTTCTCTAAACAATGATTTTTTAACTTTTTTCTTCTCTCTGAATTGAGTCTCTGTTTTATCAACTAGCAGGTAATGGGGGCTGGGATTGGGGGTTGAGGATGTAAGAATGAATTTCTACCATCTACTTTAATACTGTATACTTTTTAAAGTAACTTCAATGAACAATGTATTTAGAAATTACTAACGTAACTCACCTACGCAGTTACCCACCCATGGGCAATGATGATCAAATTTTGCTATACAGCGGTTGCACACACCACAGTGTTTGGACCTCACTGGTTTCCGTATCTGTTAATAGGCACAATGAAGGATTATGAAAAACACTGTACACAAGAAAGAAAAGCTGGACATTTATTTTCTCAAAATACAATTATGAAAACACAAAACTATACTTTTTGAACAACTGTACACCAATGTTTCCAATCAATTAAAAACAAACAGGAATTACTACTGTTTTGTTTTAATGAAATTTCAACTGTATTAACAAGGACTAAACAGATGAGACTACTCCAGAATATGAACTCTTAAAAATGGAACAGAATCACCAATTTACAAAAGTAACAACTACAAATTAAAAACCAATTCAAGGTTGTGATGAATGATACTATATTTAATTCATATCAAATTTCTAAAGAGAAAGGTATCACTCTCCAGACTTCAAAATGAAGACTTGTTTAACTAATGGTTATAATACTGGTTACTCTTTAATAAGTAAAACTGTCACTGAATAAAAGACCAGCTTAGAATGGGAATAAAAGAATCTTCTAAAATTCAAAATAACTAATAAAAGTGCCTTCCCAAAGTAACAAATCTAGCAAAAAACAATTAAGTGTACATATCTATTTCTCTTTAAATGGTTCCTGAAATCTCAGATTAAGATTTAGCATTTCCTCTGCTGGAATTTATGACCATATCTAAGAAGGCAGAATATGTTTGTAGATTTGATGTTATTTTCTCTTGCAAAAAAATTAAAAATCCATTACTCAGTTTATGACTGACAAGAATTCATGGTTATGATGTCTAAGTGCCTTGAAATGCTTTTTATACTAATTGATGCTAAACTAGCCAAGGAATACAAAAATTCACGGGAGATCTTCAAAGGACTGGCAATGCTAATGCTGGAAGATCTAGTAATAGCCTCATGAGAGAAAAATTATAATAGCCATCACTGTTCATATTGGTATTTCAATAAAAGCACTGCCATTCCTGCATTATTTTCCAGAAGGTTATACACTGTTCTGAAGTACCCAGGAAAAAGTATAGATAGGTGGATTGTGCAGTTCTTAGATCTACTAAATTCTCTGTGGGCTAAAGAAAAGAAGCTGTTACTCATTACAGATGTGAGACTAAATCTACTTATGAGAAAAGCAAGAGTATCACGCTATAAAACAACTACCCTCACTTCTAACCCTCAGCTACAATTTTCCTTTGGGCAACACCAGTCAAAAATCTGAACAATAGGGGCCGGGGATTTAGCTCTGATCCTTGTGCCTTGCAAGCACAAGGATCAGAGTTCAATCCCTGGTACCAAAAAAAAAAAAAAAATCTGAACAATAGAGTGACTTGGTTCCAAAGTTCCTGAATATACAGTAACTGCTGTCTCCATAGAATGACTGTATAATTTGCCATATGGTAAGTACATCCACATTGCACACTTGATTTTGTGGAACAGAGTATTCCCACAGAATAGCGGTGTATCAAAACATTCTAAACCTCAGAAAAGAATACGTCAAGAATGAATGATGGGGATTTAGCTCAGTGACACCATGCCTGCCTCACAAGCGCAAGGTCTTGAGTTCAATCCCTGCCACCTCAAAAAAAAAAAAAGAATGACTATACAAAAAAATTTAGTCAGGACCCTAAAGTTGCTGTCAAAAGTAAAGCAGTATATATTTTAAACATTCAAATCACAGCTCCTCAAAAATCATTAAGTGAAACAACTTAAAGAATTTGTAGAAAGCCAGATGTGGTGGCACACACCTGCAACCTCAGCTATTATACAGCTGAGGGAGGAAGATTGTAAGTTTGAGGCTAGACTCAGCAATTTACTGAGACCTTGTCTCAAAAATAAGAGAGGAAAACAAAGGACTGGGAATATAGCTCAATAACAAAGCACCTGCCTAGGATCCACTAGGCCCTGGGCTTCAATCTCCAGTACTACCCCTCAATCGTTCTGTAATCCTAAACTAAGTCAACTATTTACTATTAATCAAAAATATTAATTTACATATGACTCAAAAGTATAAAAGAACATTACTTTCATGTATGATTTGAGAATATTTCAACTTCCATGTAGAAATTTAACCATGGTAACAGTCTATACATTTTTTCACAAACTTATAAAAAACAAAATAATCACAACACAAAAATGATTCTATAGAAAGCTGATGTCTACAATAAAATAATCAATGCCAGTATTACTATACTGTACTTGATTTCATAAACAAATACTATTTAAATTCATATACATCTTAGATTATACATGACCTGGTCAATGATGATCACTTTAAAAAATCAATAAAACAGTGTTCAAAGTTGTACAAATACTTCCACACAAACAAATAATACTCAAATTGAACTTGCTGGAAGGCCATGTTGTCTGAAAAATTACTTAATGAATTTTCCCACTATAACTTTTAAAAATTCAAGAATGAATTTTCTTATAATATAGTTTTAAAAAACTTATAAGCAAACATTCTATTTTAAATAGTTTAAATTAGGAGATAAAAAGAAAATAAGAATGAATATGTATGAAAGTATTTCTGAATCAGAAGTATAGTCGAGGTCTACTACTGGGGAATAAGCACACTGAGGAGGAGATACCTTTGTTATCTCTCCTCTTGTACCATGGAATAAATGGTATTTTTTGGTGCGGGAGGGAGAAAACTGTGTTCAGCAAATGAAGTTCTTGTTCTCCTCACCCACACCATCTATGCTATGGTACTGTCAAAAAGAAGAGAAGAGAGGAAAGAACAAAGAATATACTACCAAACAGGTACTGCAGAATATACTGAGGTCCAGACTTCCTGTTTCTGCAAGTTCAACTATTGTCTGTGAATTAAAAAAAAATTTATTTAAAACTGAATAAAATTCACTAACACTCATCACTATGAATCAGTAAAGATCAGACACTCATCTTTTAATTTCCTAATGTTTTTAGCTCAAAATAAGAAATGAAATCTTTTGCGCATTCATGTCTGTTTCATTACAATATGAACAGTACTAAAGAACATCAGAGTAGCAATTTCTATGTGGTCTAAACCATAAGAATTGGCTACTGTCTTTGTATAATGTGGATAGGAATGATTTAACAAAATTTGTTTTGTTTTTGGAAACTAAATAAAACAGCTCTTAAAATTATGCAAAATGTCTCCAGTCCAATTCTCTACTTACACAACATCTTTTATGAATTTAGTTTCAAGTACCTGGGTTACAGTAAGAAGATGCTCTGAATCACATATACAAATATTTTATACTGGAATGGTCTATCTGTTCTATCCGTTTACTAGCTTCTAGTTTATAAACTCATATGACAAGCATTTGCTGAATGCATTTATTTGCTGGGGGTTTATAGAGATGTTTAAACACTCAGAGGGAGCACTTAGCTCTTAAAGCCATCACAGTAGGCTTGTAAGGGACAGAAACATAAAATTATAAAATATTATGGGATTATAAAGACAAATGTTCAAGAGCAACAAAGGTAAGCCCAAATAAAATATACATAATTTCAATTTAGTGTAAAACCTTATATTCTAAAAGACAGTTTTTTCCTTTGTACTCAAAATATCTTGTTGTAAATGCTAACAATTTGGCAGTTAAACATGTGAACTGCATTATGCTACCTTTTTCTTTTGTTCTTCTGTAGCTTTAATAATCCCTGGATCTGATTTCCAAGATTTTCCAAAGTTGTAGAAAAGTGCAACACTATTGGCAAGGAATGGAAGATGAATAAATAAAAAACTGAGATGTGCCTAAAGTTAAGGAATCTAAGAAAGTAAAGATCAATGAGTTACAAATTTATAATCCACAAAATAACCCAAAACACCTACCAAAAAATCACAAGTTTTTAAATCAAAATATTTTCCCATTATATTCACAACTAAAATGTAAAATTGTGACTTCTTTATAAACTTTAAACCATGTGGCCTTATCTGACACTTTAAAACTCAGTGAGTAAGCTCAGTGTAGTGATGCATGCCTACAGTCCCCGTATTCTGTCAGGGTGAGTCCAACTTAAGCAATTTAGCTACTTAAGAGACTTATCTCAAAACAAAAAATAAACAGGGTTGAGGATGTACTTCATAAGGTCCTGAGTTTGAGCCTGCTAGCTGCTCAGTATATTACTACACATTTGAAAAGTTATTCAGGAACTAATTACCAGATGAACTTAACTTGCTCTTTAAAGGTACATAAGATTATCTTTGAATGTTAATTTTAACTAAGCTTTAAGTTAAACAAGCTAATTTTTAAATTTTTTAAAATTGAAACTAAATTTGAAACATTTTTAAATTCCCTCTAAATGGCATGTCTGTTTTTATTACTAATATGATATCTGAGAATATCAGAAAGCTAAAAAACCATAAGGGCAACAACAAAACAATAATTCTACAACCCAGAAAAAACCTTTTTTGGTTCTGGCATTCTGCTTTTTAACTATAACTGGGATCATAGTATATTTAGAATTAATATAATAAATAACATTTATTACAAGGTGCAACTTAAGCCACCCAAGAACCCTATGACAAATCCTACTGCTATCCCCACTTAACATGATAAAAGTGAGCAAAGGCTAAGTCCAAAACTGCAAAGTTAAGAGGTAAAGTATTAAAATCCTGCCATTTAATACCTATGTTATTCTGCCACTCCAAAGTGCTCACTAGAATTTCTTAGATCAATAATATAGAAACAATATATGTGGGATATTTTTAAGGTTTATTGCATATACTTATATTGTCAGATTATTTTAGTAAAAGCTACCAATTTATAACCCCACTAGCAATATGTGATTGCTTGATTAGTACCGTTGTATTAACACTAAGAAACAAACCTTGTAAATTTCAGGAGCAAAAGAAGTGCTATTATCCTTTTAATATATATCTATGCCTATGACAGGTAAAACAAGTATTTGTCATCAATATTTTCATTTAAATGTTTATGGATGGTATTTTACATGTAACTCTTTAATGTGCTTAGTTGTTATTTTGATGGCAGTAGCTCTAAGTTGGTTACTTTTAAAGACAAATATTTAACCAGACTTTCAAGCTAGGATAATAATTTGAAATTCATTCATTAAATTTCTTTACAACAGTAACGAATGAAATGAATCCAGAACATTAAATCAAACAAACAAACCAACTATTCTCCAAAATACTATCTACAACTTCAGGAAAGGGACAAGCTTCATTATACTGTAAAATTCAAAACTGAAGGCCAAGGAAGAATCATGATTCTGGTGAGGCTAGCTGTTTAGCATAGGAACTGAATTAGGCCTGACTACACCTGTACAAGTAGAATGTAAAACTACAGATAAAGACAAAATGTCTGAGAATTCTCATCGATCCCATCCTGACCCTTGACTAATAGATTGGTGTCCCCCGCCAAAATCATATGTTGAAGTCCTAAACCCAATGTGACTATATCTGGAGATATGGTCTTTAGAAAGTAATTAAGGTTAAATGAGGTCATAAAGGTGAAACCCTAATCCAACAGAACTGTGGTCTGATAAGAAGAGAATGAGAGGACACAGCAGGAAGACAGTTTTCTGTAAGCTAGGAAGAGAATGCTCACCAGAACCCGATTTCAGACTACTGGCCTCCAGAACTGTTGGATAATAAATTTCTATTGTTATAACCAACCAGTCTGTTGTATACTATTATGGGTGTCTGAGCTGACTAATAAATACTCCCACTTTTCACCCTAGGTAATTAGATGGAAAAACACGAATATAGTGAGTAGAAACTATCAACAAATCTGGAAAACCTCTTCAGTAACAAAAATCCCTGAATACCCTGCATGACCTCCACTAACCTTCAAAAACTACCAAACCATCTCAATTATGATTAATTTGTTATTAATAAGGTGACAGGACAAAGCTGTGGGGGCAAATCCCAACATCATTCTGTCTCTAAGGCCAGGCAGAATAAAAGCTCAGAACAGACTTTCTAACAAGATCTTAGGACAGCTAAACTCAGGTTCTGGAGCAAGAATTTACAACTGAGCTATCTTTGCTAAAGCAAAGGAAAAATGTGTAGAAATTTAGATTGAATTCTAGCACTGAAAATACTATGCTGGTACCAAATATGACAGAAAAAACTTTAAGAAAACATAAAAATCTGAATGAATCTGCCCAGGTTAATAATGAGTAAGATGAAAAGAAACAGTATCACTATGTTAGCATACTTAAAAATACTTAAAAATTCAAGTAAAATACAGATGCACACTGTTCACAAAACAAGAGTCCTGTCTGGGAGGAAATATAACCTAAAGAGAAAACCAAATGAACTGAGGATGTTTCTTAATTAAATAGTAATATGAAGCCTGCAAAACATGAGCTTAAAGATATTAGAACCAGATGAGAAGGGTGATTCTAGAAATAAAAACAGAAACCAAACAAAACCATTATCTAACAATGGAATGAAAAATTTATAAAAATGAATACATAGAGCATAAAGAGACTAAGCAAAACAATAGAGATAAGAGTATGTACAAGATGCTGCTAAAGATAATTCAAAAGATAATTTTATTCATGAAGTAGGAAATACAACAAAGAATTCAGAGATCATAGTACAAATAATTTTCAGAAAAAAGGAAAACATTCATCTATATTATATAGTGTACATATGTAACTTCCATTTAGTATTATATACTGAAAAACATATTGCACATTGAGAAAATCTGAGGGACAAAGATTAACATTCTCTAACACATACTCGTTTTAATAATAAAAAATGATTGCCCAGGGACTGAGGCTATAACTCAATGGTAGAGCATTTGTCTAGCATGCACAGGCCTTAGGCTTGATCTCTAGGACAGAAATCGATCAACCAATAAAAGAATGCCTTGACTAAAATTTTTTTTTTTAATTTTAAAAATGTGGTGCTAAGGTATTAATAGAAAACCCCCAAAGACCAGACATATTCAACAAGCACAAATTTAGAGGTAAGCAGGTTCCAAAAATTAATGTCAACTTTTTGGATATTTGCTAACACCTATATGCTATATGCTACTTACAAGGCATATATAAAATTTAAGATTATAGAAATGTTAAAGGTAAATACTAATTAAAATAAAATGTTCTTCGTTAATGTTTTCTTACCATGGGTCACTAGACATTGATTCAAGGTTCATTATTTCATTAGAAATAATTCTAAACCTATATGCATTTAATGATGTAACTTCAAAATATGTCAAGGAAAAACTGACAACCAAAAAGACAACCTACCAAATACATCAATACACTGGAAATTTTAACATAATTCTTTGAATAAGTGATATTATAAGTAGATAAAAAATTTACTGAAGATAGAGTGCCTTTAGTGGCTCAATAAGCTTGATGTCATGTACAGAATGCAACTGAAATAGTCCATAAGGTACTTTTTAACTTTAAATGTTTTGAAAAAACAAAGAAAAGTAAATAAATTAATGGACTAAGAAGTGAAAGAGAAAAACAGAAACGGTTAATAAAACCTAAAGTTCTTTTTTTGGAAATAAAAAGAAGCAAAACCAATGATAACCTCTTCTAAAATTCCTGTTCTCACTTGTAGCTCTTTTCCCTGTAATATTTTAAAATTGGAATCTCTGTAAATTTAACTTAGCACTTTAATCCTAATGAGCCTACATCATCTTTAAAAAGCATTTGAATGGTTATTTAATCCCATATCGCACATAGCATAATTGATAAAACTATCCCACTGTTCAGGATGGATATTCAGGGCGCTTCCATTTATTCCCCATTAGAAATAATCTTATGAGAAACATCCTTCTAAATAAATCTTTGCCTTTATATCCTGCAATTACTGTTTAACATGTCATAATTTCTTTAAAGAGTAAAATTAAAAGAAAGATAACTGGGAATAGGGAGATCAACATTTTCCAAAGGGAAATGTGTCAAGAGATGGAGGGGTTAGGGAGGGAGGGAGAGAAGGGGAAGGGGATGAAAAAAGTTAAGACAACTATGAATGTAATCATTATGTACTGCAAATATGTACTAATAAGAATTAAAAGAAATTTTAAAAACTGAAAAAGGAGAGATCAAAGAGTATTTATTTCTGGAGCTTTTTCTATGCTGTCTGTTTTCCAGTAAGATTTATGAACTTAAATTATGTTCAGAGTACAACAGGAAGATACACATGAAGACACACTGAATCAGGTCAGAAATCTGGGTTCTACACCTAACTTCTAAGTGTCTGCCTGCATGACTCTGAGCAAGATACAAGTATCTTGCTAACAATTAGAAACGTGCATTAAAATCTTTATGTATTTTATCTACAAGAATTCTTAAAACCAAGGGCTGGGGATTTAGCTCAGTGGTTCCACCGCCTGCCTTGTAGGCACAAGGTCCTGAGTTCGATCCCTGGCACAAACCCCCCACCCCCAAAACCAAACAAACAAAAAAATCAAGTAAAGTAGTATATCTGATGTAAATCAGAAAGTACAGAACAATAAGTTATCTACAGGGAGCTAATTATTTAATGAATAGTAGTACAGAGAAAAGAACTTATTAAAATAGCTTATACCAATGTAGTTATTATAAAAACACATAAGTAACTTTATTAAATTGGGTCTTATGAAAAGCAAAAATAAAGTTTATACAGCTGGTCCTCATACCTCCTCTGCACAATTTATATGCAAACCCCAAATCAATATTCATAGCACATTCTTCAGTCACTTGATGAACATCCACAAAACAGTGAGAAATCCGAGTTTCCGGTGTGCACATTCTGAGAAGAATCTACCTTCTTGCTTCAG